ATAAAAAAATTTGAAAATGTTGAGATGCACAGTTAATAGTTGGAACCATATTAGAAGCAGTTGAAGATGTTGAAGCACTCATTATAAATAAATCTATAAAGAATACAAGATCAAGTAGAAAAGTTGAATAAAATATATATTAAAATATAAAATCAAATAATATGATAAAATTGAAATTGAAATCAAAAATATTAATTTATTAATTTTATTTTTTATTTTTTTAACAAGATTGTGGATTGTGGCAGCAGAGCAATAGTAGCGATAGCAATAGCAACAATTAGCAATAGGGTTGGCAGCTATTCAATGACAGTTCACGGTTAGCAACGACGGGTAGGTGGCAATGGTAGCAGTAGTCAGTGGTGATGTCGATGATAGTTTGGCAACAATTGGTGGTCAACAGTGGTGTCGTAATACGTGAAGTCTTACTTAAGAATGCTCTGGGCATTTGGTTGTGGAAGGTAGAATGGATATTGCTACATTAAAATCCTAATTCTAATAGAATACTAATAATACTAAACAAGCTTTAATCAAATTCAGAGAAACCTTAAAGAAATTACAAAGAAACAATAAGAAATCTTAAAGAAATATTAAAATGACTACAAACATATCTTAAATACATCTCAATTCAATCTTAATTTAATTCTAATTGAAATCTTATTGGACTTCATTCAAACTTTAGGCCAAAAACTAACTAAATCTAAAATCTTAAACAAACTCAAATAAAACCTTATACCCTAAAACAAATCGTGACCAAATCCTAACCAAACCTTAAATCCTAAACCAAATCCTAAACCCTAAATCAAATCTTAAATCCTAAATCCTAAACCAAATCCTAAACCATAAATAAAATCCTAACCAACCTTAAATCAAACTCTAAATCCTAACTAAATCCTAATCCTAAATCAAATCCTAACCAAATCCTAAACCCTAAATCAAATCCTAATCCTAAATCAAATCCTAACCAAATCCTAATCAAATCCTAACTCTAAATCAAATCCTAACCAAATCTTAAATCCTAAATCAAACTCTAACCAAACCCTAAAGCTTAAACCAAATCCTAATCCTAAATCAAATTCTAACCAAACCCTAAAGTTTAAACCAAATCCTAATCCTAAATCAAATCCTAACCAAATCTTGACCCTAAATCAAATCCTAGTAATTCCTATAACAGATTTAGACCTCAATTACTAATGAATGAAGTATTCATCTTAACTCAAAATTTACAAGCTTTTTAACAATTAAGTTGATAAGAAGTACAAAAGATTTTAAAAAGGATCGGAATTACCAAATAGACGATAGCCTCAAAAACGTGCTTGGATATTGGCCGGCCTCCTTCTCTGACCTTGATGCCAATCTCTTAGAACTAATATCTCTCCTTTTTGCTATTTGATTGATCTCAAAATTCTCATACACATAGTAAAACAAGTCCAAAATCTTCTCACGTAAATTTCCTCCAATCCAACTAGTAGATTGCAAAAAATCTTTAAAATCCTCACTAGCTCTAAAATTCTACTTTCTGAGACCTTAATCCACTTAAACCTCAATAACCCTCAATTCAACTATTAGATCAAGATAAGATTTACAACACATATTAAACACAACTATGACCATTAATCCACAAAATTTCACCCATAGATCTATTATAAAACTCTTGAAATCTCTAGAAACGTCAACCATAATTTATTTCACAAAACCCAAGTTATCCAAAAATAATCTTGATTTTGTAAAGCTCTTACAAAGTCATAACAACTTCAAATCACCCAAATCCAATGCTCATAGAAACTCTATCTAGTTTTCTATCAAATCCCACTTTCCAATCTACAAAAGAATCCCCAAGTTGCCGTAGGTGCTCAGTTTTGTGCCTCATGGTCTGATTTCGACCCAAGTTAATAACCACCCCTCCTCGGGTATCAATATCTAGTTTTTCTAGGTAATTTTTACTAGAATTTATTCTTAACTTCTTCCTAAAAATACTTATATCATTTATTTTTTCAATCTATCTTATTTTGCCTTATTTATGGCCCTATAAAGTAAATAGAAGTCACTTTTATAAAAAAGTAGTACTACTATTAAAAGTTTTATTACCTTCCTATCTTTTATCCATATTTTTCTACTTTATCTATTAACTAGGCTCTTCTATAATAAGATCCATATTATCATCTTTTACCATATAGTCATGTTACAACACAATGACGGTAGTAGGGCGGGAGTGGCAACAATAATCAGTGACAAGATTAGTAGCTATTCGGTGGCAATTAATAATCAGCAATGGTGGTCAGGCTGTTTAAGCAACAAGATTGGCAACAAGGTTGGCAGCAAGCGGCAGCAGTTTTTTGGTAGCAGTTTGGTAGCTGTTCGGCTGCAGGCACAAGGTGCAGTACGGAAGTTAGATTGGAGCAAGTATTCTAAGCAAGCAGGGCATAGAATAGAGCAAGTATTGTAAGCAAGCAACTAATGTATGAGGGGCCAACAAGAAGTGCAGCAAGATCATGAGTCACACAAGGAGCAGGAGTAGTAATAGGTTTGAAGAGTCAAGACTAGAGTAAAAAAAAAAAAAAAAAAAAAAAAAAAAAAAAAATTGATAGTGTAGAAGAGAGTCATGTTGATAACATGTTGAGATTGTTTAGAAAGACACAAGAGTAGTAATAAGTAATACATATACATACAAGAGAGTTTCTAAGGAGAGAGAGAGAGAGCTTCATACAAAAGTCTATTAATCTAGTTGTGTCTCATATACAAGAAGAGAAGGAGAGATAATAAACAGTTCCTCTCCATTATATTCCAAATATTGTAACTATAATTGTACTGTAGACTAAAGTAAATATTATGGAGAGCCGGCTACATTTAATGCTCTCGAATAAAATCCATTCCAAACTGAACTACCTTGAATGAAATTCAATCGATCAATTCCTTGCATTCATTCTAGGCAGTCTGCACACGAGGCAAATGGTGTGATGTTTAAGTGTTGGGACGGGATGCTCTCTTTACTTCTTCAATGCGCAGCCATAGATTGCGCTTTCAGTACCTAAGAAAAGGCTACAACAAGTGGGTTCAAAACAAAGTTAAAGGTATCATCTAGTCATGCTTAAAAGCTTGTTTTCATACATCTAGGCAACTTTTTTACTATAAGTTGCTTTTTTGGCTCGTGGTGGATTTTTATTAGATTTAATAAGAGTCCAAATTAAAATTGCAACTATATGTATTAAAGAAAAATATTCATGTAAAAGAATAAAAATAAAAAAATGAATGGTTACAAATATAAACAAAACAATGTAAGTGTTAAAAAATGCAACAAAAATAAAATTAATAATTATAACGTCATAGATCGTGTTGTTTTAATTGGTGATGGAATCCTAAACTATGTAATTATATTTATATGTGTGTGTATATGTTATTTTCAAATAAATTATTAACCTTTATTTATTTATTTTTCTACCAAAATTATTTTAGAAACTACCATCAGCTTTTACTTTAAAATGTATTATCACAATTACTATGAGATACTTTATTTTTTTTAATTTTTTTTAGCTTTCATTAATGAAACATTTATATATACATATGCATATGTACACATTTTGTTGATATTTCACTGACATGGAATTAATGAAACTCAACTCCTTTTATAAGCCAACATGAATATGAAATTGATTTTTCTACATAGATATGAAAAATCAAAAAGTTTGAAGTACAGGTTAAATAACAAAATAAAGTAAACCTTTGCACAATTAAACCTAAAATAATGATAACCGTAATTGGATCATCTAAATATTTGGAATTCAACTGGAAGATATGCTAATAAATTTAAAATTGTGTTAAGCAAAAATAGTCAATGAAATGAATATAAATAAGGTTAGACTATAGACCAAATTCAAATATGTACTAAATGAACTTCATTTCAAAAAAGTAAAATATGGAAATGATTGATAAGTGGAGATATAATATGAATAATGGTAACAATAATTATTATTATTATCATGATGTTTATATATAATAATTTCAAATATTATAACATCCATTATAAAAATATTGTTGGAAGTTAATATATTTATAAAATTACTAACTAGGAATTTGTACTATATTTTGAATAAAAAGATACATTGCAAAACCAACTGCAGAAATGTATCACTTAATGGTGTCTGAAAATATATATTTTACTTCTTGCAACTAGTATTCAAATACTTGTAATAAAATACAATGGTAAGAAAGCAATACATGTTACATGTAGATAATGTAAAGAAGATGTATGACTACAATTTCATATATATATATATATATATATAGATATTTTATTACATGCAATCATTTTGAGTTTGGGATTATAAACTAATCCCAAACTCAAAATGAATCATGTATTTTTCAAGTTAAATATCAAATCGAATGAACTTCAAAACCTCTTTATTCTTTTTTTAATAATTAGAAGCTTTAAACAATGTCAAAAGCCTCTTTATTTATTTATTTATTTATTTATTTATTTACAATACAAAAGATATCCTTTGAGATATCAAAGAATATTATTACCTTTTGAGTTGAAATATTTTAGGTTTGAGTTTAAAGGAACGTAAGGAAGGATGTAGAAAAAGAAAAAGACAAGAATGAAAGAAGTAGAAGAAGAAAAAGAAATGAGGTCAGTAATGCGGGGGATACAGGGCTCCGCTGGACCTTTTCGCCGGCGTCGGTATCCTCTTGAAAACCCGGCGCACTCGACCACTGTTAAACAAGCTAATCGTGGCTAGTCTGAGGAATTATAATACCAAGTCCTCGAAGCAGATCGAACTACTGATCCATAGCAAGTAGTAGTAGTAGTAGTAGTAATAAACTGGACCTAGACTATTGATTAGGAGATACTTTCTTTCTCAACATCATGCCGACGTGATCAGTGACGACTTCTACTAGAGTCACGGACAAAGGAATTTATTGTTATAATATAACTGATTGCAAGAGCACGTCGACCAGGACTTCAAGTGGATATATTGCACATGAGCGCACCAAGAGCCAAAAGCATCACGTCGCCCAGTGGAGCTAGCTAGAGATAAAGTTTAAGGGAAGATTAGTACAGTTTGCAAGCATGTTGTGACGTCGAGGCACATTTGCAATCGTTGAAACCGACACCGTTTTTGTGTTGTTATTGAAGTCATTCTAGTCCCTAGGCAAAATATTGCCATATAGTGCTGGTCCAGCAGCAGAAGGTGGATTTACGCTACATGTGAAGGGTTGAATTCTTGTTTTGTGAAATGAAAGTGAAGTGCTTGCTTCGGTTAGTTTGATGGACTCCATCTTGAAGAGCAGAAAGCGTTTGGCTTTCAGTAGATCGGTGGTTGTAGCATTATGTTTAGGTTTCATTGGAGGCATGGTTCTGCAAAGCATTACCGGTATGCCACCACTGCTTGGGGATGGTCGCTTTGTTCTGGACGCAGCAGGTTCTAGGTCTATACAACCTGTACGGCGTTGCGACTGCGTTCAGAATGCTACTCACGAAATTCAACCCCCTAGTGGAGTGCCTTCAACCGGGACTGGTGTCCAAAAACTTGATCAATCCTCGCCACCACCTTGTTGGCGAAACGAGACGGTCGAATTGGTGCCACCATCAGAAGGAAGTACAAACCAAATCGGGTCGCAGAATTGTTTGAGAGATGAGAGTGAATATGAATGGCGAGCTGTCAAAAAGCTGCCTCAGCAGTTCATTCATACGAATTCAGACTACCATCGCCGTAATTATACCAAGCTGCCGCCTCAGGTACTCGTAATAACCAGGTCCATCTCTTTGATTGTGATGAATCTCAAAGCAAGCTTGTTCGATCACACTGTAAGATTCGAAAGTTCCTCAATTCAATGACATGCGATATTGGTGGACACTGACGCAGGACAAGCCTCCGCTGAACATGAGTCTCCTTGCAATGGCAGTTGGGTTCAAGCACAAGACCCACGTCGACGCCATCGTTCGTAGGGTAAAAGGAAGTGTTTCCCGAGTCTGGGTGAATGGAGGGACGGTCTCACTAGGATCTGAATCATTTCGCATCCTTGTAGAGAAATAGTTCTGGACGAATCCGTTGATGTCTGAGATCGATCGACTTATGTGTGGTTTGCGATGCAGTTTTCCGGAGATCATTTTCAAGTGGTGCTGTTCCACTACGATAATACCGTCGACAAGTGGAGGCAATATGACTGGTTCCAGCGAGTGCTGCACATCCAGAGCGAAGGCCAAGGCAAGTGGTGGTTTGCAAAACGTTTTCTGCATCCAGACGTGGTGGCACCATACGAATACATTTTCATCTGGGACGAAGACCTCAATGTTAAAAATTGCGACCCTCACAAGTCGGTTCCCGCTCTTCCACTATCTCATCTCCTACGGGCTAGCCTCAACCTGGCAGTACTTCTTGTTTGTTGGCTAATGTTTGCAGCCAATTTGCGGGGAAACCGCTGTGTGTTCACCTGTCTCTTGACGACCAATCATGCTCTTGTCCAGATTCATTGACGTGATGAGGAGGAATGAGCTGCAAATCGCGCAACCAGGACTTGAGGGAGTTTCACACTGGCCGGTGACGAGACATGTAAAGCATCCTCAAAACGAGACAGAGATACACCTTCGCACTTCCATGGGAAAATCAAACGGCCAGCCGTGCTCGAATACCAACATCACAGCCCCTCCATGTGCAGGGTATGTCAGCGCAATTAATCCAATTCGTATCATGTGCCCTGAAGGGGCCGATCAACTATCCACGCATCTAGATCAAATGATGTGATCTATAGCAAAGAGCATTGAAAACTAGTAGCCACCGTAGAGCACCCTCACCATCACTTTGCACAGGCTGCCCTGGTCGTGTCTTGCACAACTTTACCACGATCTGACAATGGTTCTGCACTCTTTCTCCCAGGTACGTAGAAATCATGGCCCCGGTGATTGAGCACAAGGTCTGGCGTTGCGTATGGCACATGATTCACAACGACCTAATCGGAGGCTGGGGTCTCGACTTCCTCCTACACGTATGCGTGGATGGACCTCCGGAGAAGCACATCGGCATTGTGGACTCTCAATTCGTGGTTCACGACGACGGACGCTCTATTTACGCGAAGGTATTACGTTCGATCGATCGATACACTCAGGCCTTCGATTAGACTCTTGCACCGCGCATCTGCCCAACATTGATCTGCTGTGGCGCCAGCTGATCAGTAGCTGCGAACATGTTCCTAGATTCACACCAGTCAATGTATATCATGCTAGTCTACAGCCTGATCGAAAATCTGATTTGATCTTCGCTGGTAACATGTTTCTGTGGTCGCGTGTAGGCTGAAGGAAATCAAACTGCCAACGCCGCGAATGATTACGGGAAAGCGGTGCGATCACATCTTTCCCTTTCTCTGTTGTGCCTTGCAGTGCTATAAGCAAATGAAGTACTAAGGATGTTGTATAAGTTACGCTCTGAATACATGGCACCCACGTTTCTGCTTCTTATTGGTGTTTGTATCGGTGACGGTAGGTTTGACCTAGAATAAACATTGCTGTCTTGATTGTGAAACTTGAATGTTTCTGAACATGGATTTGTTGGTCATGGGGAGAAGATTATACCAGTTTAAGAATATAACTGGATTAGCCGAAACTGGTACACCATTCATCTAATGTAGACTTGGATATGATACCTTGCAAAGTAAATTATGATATGTTGCAAAATTTTAAACCTCAAGTGTTTGGATGTTATCAGGTTTTGCGAAGGAACTATTGGGAGCTTGAAGAATATTTTAAGAGATGGGGAGCAGCATTATCAGCGAATAATACTAAGTCATAGCATGCAAGCCTTCTTCGAACATCTTATGGATAGAAATCACGCTATGTGCATTTTCAACAATTAGATATTATAATCCTCAAAGAACTTTATTTAGATGAAAACTGTATATTAGAGATTCTGAAACACTTGGAGAATGAAAATTCATGACTAGCTCGTACCAAATTGTGAATCGAATAAATGTTTCTTCCCCTGGATTTACAAAAAAAATTGGTAGAAATGAATTTGTATATATATGCATATGCATACGTATTTTTTCATTTAAGTTTAATTGTGTAACATGTACGTGATGTAAAAACTTCAAATTCAAGATGGATTGCTTGCTGATAAATGTTTCCGTAAGATTTCATCAAGTATTTTCACAAGAAAGTTTTGCATAATTTATTAATTTCTCTACTGATTAATTAATTCATTTGGTTTCTTAAGTTCAATCATTTGTGGGAGGATTTTATTTTTAAATTTTAAATTTTAAATAAGTTTTAGTGAAACAATAAAAAGTGACGTCTGTCTGTGTGTATATATTTACACATAAACATGTAAAAATTGTTGCCACACAAAGAATTCACAACCTCCTTTAATGAATCAAGATTAAATAAACTCATTATAAATAAAATTTTATTATAATAAATATTGTGAATATGTATGAATGTATATACACACATTATATATGTGTATATATACATAGTATTCGAATTAACTATTAAAAGAAAAATTCGGTTTTTTTAAAACTATGATACCAACAAGCACATATCTTATACACTATTAAGAAATAAATAAAGACCATACTTTTTTTAAACTACCAGGTAAATTATAAAATAATTTAATGTCATATACAACAAAGAGTTAACCATGAGTAGTAATTATGTTGATTTATTTTTATGAAATAGTGGTTTCGAAAACAAGTACGTGTACAAGTTGAACAGTGCAATAGAAAAGATCTCACGTTAAAAACACCATATAACTTTTTTTTTAGTATCACACGATATATTCAATAATAAAAATCTATCATATTCATGACAAGCACATTACAGTAACCTTATTCATCACATTTACCATGAAAGACTACAGAATTTAGACAATTGTTCAAACATTACAACCCACTGTTATCCTAGAAATCTTGTCAATTTACAATGATTATGTGGTTTCGGTGTACGTTTTGCGCATGTGGAAGGCTAATTCCAAGTTTTCCTGTTCTCATTGCACTTCACAATCATTCATTTATTATCAATCCATGAAAAACTCATCGCAATAAAACTTTAAACAATGGTGGGTAAGATTGACAGATGGAGTGATAATATTCCATTCACAACCAGAACTACATTTTCCCACACGAGTAGAAGCATAGGAGTCAACACCAATGGAAACATGGGTGAAGGCGAGAAATATTTGGCAATGGGGCCCATTGCTAAACATCATTTATTCAGAGAGAACGAGCATGGGTATACGTGCAGGTCTCTCTCTCTCTCTCTCTCTCTCTCTATATATATATATATTGATGAATTGATACATAGGACACAGCCAACCATATGGCAGGGGAGGGGTGAGCCTTTAACTCTGCTATACTCTTGTGATGTAGAGTTGAGGGCTAAGAACCAGAATGGAAGAGCCATTCCTATTCCTGTTCCTGGTCCTGTTGCTGGGTTCATTCTGGAACCCACATAAGTGAGCAAAACTAGCATGATGGACTCGACGGAACATCACTGGATTCAAATCGGTCACCAAATGCGATGCCCAAACCCTCGCAGCATTCCAAACCAACGGCAGGATACCAATTATGTGGAATTGCACAATGGCAGATAGGAAAGAAGATCGAGATGGCACACTTGTGAGAATTCACAGAAGAGTGATCTCGGATGGGAAAGATGACTATCCTGGTCTAGCTAGAGATAACTCCGTCAAGCAAAGGATTTAACCATGATTTGTCCACTTGAGCGCAGCTCCCTCTATCTGTCTGTCTGTATGTCTGTCTGTCTCGTCCTGTTGACATGGATTGGATATCTTGGAGACCACCGTTGTATTAACATGGGATAGATCAGTTTCAACATGAACCCACCAAGTGGCACATTGCTTTGTATGCAACCCGAGCTCGTCGAATAGTTGCACCTCCACAAATCCTTACACGAGTAATTACACGATCAACCTCAACCTTTCCACCAAAAAGATTCAGGGGGGAGGATCACAGGAATAAAACTAATGATACCTTTCACCGCAAAAGTTGTAAGCTGGCTACTGCTCCTCAGGGTAGAGCGAGACGTATTCAACCCTGATTCCTCCTTTCAGCTTGGTGTTAATGACGAAGTTACCTTGATACTTTTTCAGGAGACTCACGAGTCCCGACCACGCTTTGCCATTCCCTTTACCGTCTAGCTCCTGTCCATCCTCATCTACACCCATGATGCTCATGAGTTGGGGCGACATTTGCCTGTTCCTGAAGTGGTCTAAGATGTCAGCGTGCAGTTTGGACACAGCCATCCACTCTCCAGGATGATACTGGCTTTTCAGCTTTTCTAAAATGATCTTCACCACTTCTCTTTCTTCAGCCTGTTCATGTAGAACGTCCGCTCCTTCCTCGTCGTACCCGTGTCCCTCCCTTGCCCCTGTGGTACTACCTTGCGGAGGAGAAGGTTCCACCTCCTGTTGTGCCATCCAAGGAGCACTGGCCTGTTTGCGCTCCCTAGCACCTGCTCCAGCCGGGCCGTTCTTACCTTGTCCCTGCCCTTTGATCTTCTTCGCAGGCGCAGCAGCAGATGACTGTACCAAAGTTGCCGAGGCCGCTCGACTGCCACCCACAGCCCGTTTTCTAGGGTTAATGGGGCTCGATCCGGACGCAACAGAGCGCGCAATTTTCTTAGCGGGGAGAAGGAAGTAGAATCGCTTCTCCCCAATTTGCAGAAGGTCCTGTGAATCCAACTTCACGGGAGAAGTCCCCGGGTAGTGCAGCACCCCTTCCACGTAGCACCCATTCTTCCCCAAAACCTCCAGCACAAACCGCTGCATCTCGAAGTCATACAAGATCCTCGCGTGCTGCCGGGAGATGTTCATTCCGCCCCCCAACCCCGCCAAATCCACATCCACCGACGATTTTTTACTATTCCTTCCCAACACTATCGAATACGTTTGCATGTAATACTCAAAATCCTCCCCTTGCAACTTCGCAAACCCCGCCTCCATCTCCCCCATCTTGCTTCGCTTGCTTGCCTGCCTTCTACTCTTTTCTGCTTAACGGACAGTCCACTCCTCACTCCCAACCTATCATACCATGGCCCTTAAATCCCTCTTGAATCCAGCACCTACACTCTGACAAAATGCCCCAATTCATCCCTTCCTCCTATCTCGTTGCTTCTCGAACACCCTCCCGTCTCAAATCACACACCTCTCACACACAGGCACTATCTCACTATGGACACAAGAACCAACCACACAACCAACTCGAGCACATCCCGTCTGCCAACCACCTATCTCCACGTCAATGCAAGTCTGTGCGGTGCCCCACTCATCCGGTGGCTCACAACCCAAATGCAAAAATACTCTCTCAATCAACGAAACTAAACTTCAATAACAGCAGATGAAAGGTGACCGGCACGGCAAACCCCCCCCCCCCCCCCCCCCCCAAAAAAAAGGATGGGATGGGGGAAAAAAGAAGCTAAAAGCAATAAATCTGTCGACAAAGAAACTCAATATGCACATGCCGTGAGGCACGTCACGGACCGACATGCTTCACGAAGACTCTAGAGTGTCGTCGGATGAAGCTTCGCAATCTTTGTGCGAGGATGGAGTCAAACGGAGCGACGCTGACGACCGGGTCACAAGAGGGTAAACTTTGCGATGCTGGGGGTTTCATGTTTGGAATTGGCGGATGTCAATTTGGAAAACGGATAAAACAAGTGCCGCCTGTCGTGATTCCACCACTCGTACCACCTCCATCGCCGTCCAATTCTCGCTTCATCCGTCTGTCCGTCCGATTGCACTTCCAACTCTGTCTCGCTGTCTGTTTCTCGGTGCAAGAGGTGTGCCTGAAAAAGGATGCCAACACTCGCAGTAGACGGTTCCACACTGGGTATTGAGATAATTGCGACAATTGCGAGGATTGTGGCCACCCAACTTCGACTGTGAGTGAATGAATCGGTGGGCGTCGTCGGAGATAAGTAAGAAAATCGTGGGTCGTCGAATCACGACCCACGTCCAGGAGCAAAACAGAGTCCCGCGAGCACCGAGACGAGACGGGCCAGAATTAGGGCTTGAGGCGAAGGAAGAAAACAATGGCGAAAATAGTTCGGAGACGAGCCTCGAGGCTGGTCGGTTCGGTGGTCGAAGCTCTGGTGCCTGAGCTAAGCGCCTTTCATTTGTTTGCACAAATATATTTATATATATATATATATATATATATAGAATTGTTAAATTGACCCAAGTATTTATTAAAACGACCCAATTATTTACTAAATCCTAACCGTCATCAAAAAATTATCCACTGCTGGATCCATATTGGTCGAAAACCAATGAAAAAATGAAAAAATGGTGAGATCCTCAACCAACAATGATGAGTGGGTCAATTTAATAATTCCCTACATCTATATATATATATATACATATACATACGTACATACATTGCTCAACTGAAGATGTGATTTTTATATTTTTTTCTTATGTGTTGTTAATTTCTATCATTGCTGTGCTCTTATTCTCATCTACATCTAATGAATTTATTACATATTAAGGCTTTGAAATGAGAAGTGTGTTTGGTTTGTTGCATTCTTTTCAAGGTCCATCCATGCATGTGTTCTCTTGTAGGGTAAAGTTGGAAAAAAAATCACTTATATCTTTTTCAATAATACATTAGATTCTTGTAAAATCGACCTTGTATTATTTTATTTTGTACTTTAAAAATTAATCAAAATTAATGTCCTCCTAAGAATCTACCCTGAGCAGAAAAAGTTGTAAATCATGTTATAAAAACATGATTGATTATTTTACCAAAATTGACAATGAATTTACTTTTTAATTCTGTATATCAATATTATTAATCCCATTAGAGTTTGTTGTCAGAAAAAAATATTATGTTCCAGTCATGAGTTAAAAACATGTAAAAATTATATTGATTACAGGTTTCATAAAACCACTTCATAACCTGCACAACTAAAAAAATCCTACAAGAGTAAACTTTTATTTTATCAAAAAAAAAAAAAAAACAAACAAACAAACAAACTTAGTCATAGTAGTCTTGTAAGTTTGTTGTTGTTGTTGTTTTTGTTTTTTTTGTAATATTAAAATTATTATTAAAATAAAAAGATATAAAAAATATTAAAAAATTGCATGTAAGTATCGATTTTTAAAATTTTGTCTTTTATTCATAATTTTTAAATGCATTCCAATATTAAGTTGAGTAGTTGACACCACATTGTGCCAACAACATTATATAATCTTATTTTTATAATGACAATGTAACTCTTGATAATCCAATCTTAACAAAGTACTATGTTTAGTTGTATCATGTACTTAAAAGCATCACCTAGGAATAAAGTACAAAAAAGCCAAAATGTTTAGTTTTAAGTTTAAAGAAAATTATGCATTTCAGAAGCTTTTTAACATAGAGTTTTAAAACTTTAAGAGGAAAAGAGCAAGTTATACTAACATTTGTAATTAACATGTAATCATTTTTGTTATATGTATATGTTTTATTTTTGTAACACATATTTTATGATATAAATGTTGAAATAGGATATTAAATGCATCAAAATGGTTTAAAAGGTTAGAGAATGCATATACAATAGACATCAATTTTTCCATTTTTGGGGTTTTGAAGTAAAAGTCAAAAGATTAATTTTAAACTGTTGCTAGTGAGGAATAGGGAGGACAAGAAAAGGAAGGGAGTAAAGTGTGTAGTATGTGGAGCGGTAACCAGTGGAGGAGTAAATCAATGCTTTGCGCATTTCCAGCGCTACCCTAATCATATTTCATGTGACATGTTTTCAACGTGTCTTTAATATGCTCATTGTCTACATAACCCACTTAATGATGGTGCAATAAATGATCAAGTTGGCTTCAGAAGCAACATCGAATTCTCAGCTTAATTCTATGAGTCTAGCATCACCTTCACGTCGTATGCCACGTTTGCTTTTGCTGCACACATCTGTATTGTGAACTTGAGATCTTCCGTAAGTTAAATGATTCTTAAAACAAAGGTAAGGATCACTTATTGATGTAGATAAACCCTCATTGCTGACGCAACAGCAAAAGGTCAGAATTGTATACCTGGAAACTAGAAACAGTGCTAATTCTCTCTTCTACGCTGAGTGCTTCACTGTATGCTCTATAATTCATCTCTCATCTAGAAGGACTCTATAGAGCTCCATTTTGTCCACTGAAAAAGGTTCAGTTGCAACATTGATCTGCACTTTTTACTGTTTGGACAATGCACTAAAATAATCCTGTTCCGCAAGTGTGATGTACAGGCAATCGTAATTGCTTATTTCTCAACACGGAGAAAGAGAACTCTCTGACCTGTTGGTTGGAGTTCCGGGTCCCCTCACTAGCTTGTTTCATAAATGTTCAAGAATTCAAGTATTCTGCTCATTGACTGCAAATGCAGCTCATCAAGAGAAAAAAAACCGACACCGGAATTCTAAAAAAGCACGAAATACCCGATGGAGGAAAACGTACTCATCAACACATTATTCTAACGCTTGATCTACCCTAGAACTTCGAAAACTGTCTCGTAACTCAGAAAAACGCTTGAAACATTGAGCTTTTGATCGGCCTGGAACAGCGTCAGCAATCTTATCCCACCTCTTTAGAGTGTCTTTGGGGAATGTTTTCAACGCTGACACAAGCACCCTGTCTTCAGTCTCGGTCCAAACAGAAGTCGTTCCATTGGTAACATCGGCCTGACCACCCTCCCATCTCTGAGACAATGGCGAGTCAATAACTTTTTCACCACCTTTCCTCTGAGCAAGAAATTTTGCGTATGAGTCCCCATCTGTAAACTTCTTCTCTCCCAAAAGTTTAGCCGTCTTAATCACATCCTCTGTCGAGTGAGAGCCTGCAAAAACCTCTGAAATAACATCCCAACGCTGCAAGGTTCCCCGAGGGAATTTCAACAACTGCTTGCGCAGCAGCTCAATGTCCTCTCCGGTCCACTCTTTGTCTTTTCCACTCTTCAGTTGTTGAGGCACGACATTGACAGCTGTTCCATTCGCATAACTAGTCGAAACAAGAGAGGGCGATGACATCAAATTCTCTCTAGAAGAGATTCTTCCAACAAGTGCATCAGACTTTTTATTGAAACCTTTTGGTCGTTTCTCCGGTTCTCTCGGTGATTCTTCTAATGGTTCTGGTTCTGGAAGCAATTCTCCAACACCTACTCTGCAGTTTCCACCAGTCAATGACACCGGTGCAAAGGGACCTATGACTAAAGAAAGAGCCAGCCAGAGGCTTAAAAATTGAAGTACCCCAGTCTGAAACCACGAGAGAGCTAGAAATAAAACTCCAGCGCTTGAACAAACTCCAATATGAACGATGTTCAGTTCTTTCTCTTCGACGGTAGAATCCAGAGGCCCGGATTGAAGTTGGAACCTCGGCTTCACGTCATCTATTATGTCGAAATCCATCCTCTAATGGACGTTGTTAAATGCAACCAAAAACCTGGAAGTGTCACCCAGACGAGTAGAAAGTAAGAGACGCGAACGTAATCAATATCTTTACTCAAAGACCGAAAGCGACTGCAGAGGAGTCCAAATTCAATTACGACTGATACGAGACGGGTGTAAATGTTATATACAGAACTTCTCAACTAAACCAATATTTGTAAATCAGTAGACATCAGCGCGAAAAAGCAACACTAAACTATAAAAGTGCTAAATTTGCAAGTGAAAGTCACTAACCCTATAAAACTTAACGAAGCTATCAAAAAATCGGACCCTACTTCTCCAGTAGACAATGTCTACAACGACTCTTGATGAGTCAGAACTTTCGAACACAGCACGCTTTTCAGCGGCGTTGCTAACTCTTTTCTACAAGAGGAGAATGACAAGCACACATATTTCCTAAAACGCGAGACCTTTCCACGGCGACCCTAAACCAGCATCAGCAAGCTCGGTCGGTCTTGAATACTCATCCCTCTGGCCTAAAATAAAATATATATAGATCAAATAAAAACAAACAAACAAGAAAAAAGTCGGTGTGAAAGTCGCATTACACCTCACTGGAAAAAATGACAACGAAATGTATGATGGACGATAAATTGTCCACAGCAATCTGAAAGACAGCATTAAAGAATGAGGCATCAAGATGTAACGCACGTTCACTTCTACGGAAGGCTACAAACCCTTGCAAAAACGCATTTCCTCCCACCAGTCGCCCTCGAGTATAGATTTCCACAAGAGCAAGCAACAACTCGCCGTCACAATTTTGTCGCCACTCCCATTGCGTCGGAATTCAGCGGCGGTGGCTGAAAGGAAGACGATCCGCAACTTCAAAAAAATTAATACAATACTCCGTTAAAAAAAGTATCAATCAAAAACAAAGTGCGGCAGTCAACTGTTGCCATGGGCCTGAGCGGCAACAGCACATGCAAGATTGCAAATAAGTTGGGGGATAGATTTTCGCGAAGCAAATGAACGAGCCGAACACTCGTGTTTGTGGTCTGACGTGCTGCCGAAGCATGTCGTAGATGAAACCGACAATTTCATCCGACGAAATCGGAAACACATTCATTGTGCATTCCTTGACCAAGTGCCCCCTTGACTAGTGCCTACTAATACATTTCTTGAATACTTCGGCCATGGTTGCAATGTGCACGCAGATGGGTAGTGTTAATATTGATATGAAAACACATCCGGGTGTTGTTCCGCAGTCATAGAAAACCTAAAACCTCTGGGCCGTTGCTCCTAAGCTTGCACTCCAAGCTGGGCACCATCTGCAATCGATGCGCGCAGGCACGATGAGCCTGCGCCGCGATGTCGGCGACGTGAGTTCTGTTTGGGCAGATATGTGGAGGAGTCGCACTGATTTCATGTTAGGTCATCGTGAGCGGTATCGATGCGAGTTAGAGCGCGCGCCCGAGGCTCGTGGAATTAGGTGCTTGGTGATGTCTTTGGGATCCTTGGAACGAGGAGCATGGCGAGGAAGAGGACACGGTACGAGAACGTTCCATGAGCGAGGAGAGGGTGTTTAACATTGTGGTGTACTTGGTGGAGCGAATGCGAGGCGAGGCAAAGGGGCAGGGAGTTGCGGAAGAAGGAGAGGAAGGAGAAGAAGAAGGTGGGTTATTGAGGGACGATGGAGAGTGATGGGGCTGCGGCCATGGGTCCAGCCGAGGCATGCGTGTGGTGGAATGCGAGGATGCGAACTGACGATGGTGAGAGCGTGAGTGCGTGAGTGCGTGGAGTATGGGGTGCGGTTGAATTGGGAGAAGGGATGTGTGAAGAGAGCGTGCGAGAAAAGAGTGAGAGAATAGGCAGTTTCTGGTTTGTATTTGTTTGTCTGTCCAATGTAGTGCAGTGCTAGTACAATATAATGGAATGTTAGGGTGGTATAATAGAGATTGATAGTACAATTTAGGATGAAGGAAAAAAATAATTTAGGACAATTAGATGGTAGGTAATTTCTTTTTTCCTACATATCTTAAGGTAACAGTTTTTTCTCAGAATTGCAATATTAATAATATGTGGGAAATGGCTTCAAAAACAATTTAGTAATACTTGTGAAATTTTAGATATTAATTTTAACTCTATAGAAAAGTAAAAAAGAAAAATCACTCCATGAGCACAACTACATATCATGTGACAAAGACTTAATTAATCATTTGTTGTATCTACAAGATAATGATCTCCATTTTTTGTTGTTTCTTACCAATTTAGTACTTATTTTACATTAGCACTATTTCTTTCCATTGGTCTAAAACTTTAAAATCACTCCATAGAATACTAAAATTATTTCTGTATTATGTTTTCATTTTGTTTGTTGAAAAGTTTTATTACTATATATAATAAACTTTTAACAATGTGATTTATCAACACTTAGATTTAAAAAAAAAAAAAAAAAAAAAAAAAATCCACTTCAAATTGGTTGCATAGTATATATACACATTGATAGGCTTTGTTTTTTATTTATTACCTTGCTTATGATTTAGATTTGGGATCTACTTGATTGTTCCACTTGTCAAATTGAAACAAACATGTTTCTTGTTTTTTCAAAATTCTTAAAATATAAATACAAAATATTAAAGGTTTTGATACACTAAAGTTTGTAGTAATCAATGAGATGATACTGATAAAAATTTTGAAGTCACAAATACCTTTGTGGTCAGTGTTAACACTTGACATAACCATTTAAGCAATGCATGTTATGACATCAATTGAAGCATCTCAAATATTTTATTTATAACAACTTGGTCTTCTTCAACCAATTATTTTATTTGAATGAGTTACATTTTACAAGTGTCAAGTCTTATTGGAATATAAGTATTTTAATATTGGTATTCTACTATTGGTACATAAGATTTTTTTTAAAACAAGACAATATATGTAATTATGAACATTAATATCTTTTGATGTATTTAATTATAACTTAAAGATTCCACATTAGTGTTTGGGAGCAGATTTTTTTGGTTTCTTGCAACTTCATCAACAATTACATCAACAATTGCAACATTTACTTGTTACATCCTTTGTTTTAGAAAACAAACATATCAAATAAGTTATGTTCTATGCTTTTTAAATTGATAAACATGGTTTCATTATGAAGTTCTATGACAAGGTTTGAATCAATATCAAGAATATTATTATTTTTGGATTGATAAAAAAACAATACATCAAACTACAGATGCTTTAGATTTTAATAACTATTATTTATACTTTTTTTAGATAAGTAGTTTAAACTTATTGTTTGAAAAATGTTTATTAACTAATGTCTACTCCAACAACATCAAGGCTTTGAAACTATGTACTTAATTTGGTAAAATAGCATCAATGACAAAAATAGGCACAATAATTAAAAACTTTAAAGTTATTTTTTGTTCATAATTTGTCAAATTTGTTATTTGTGTCTTTTCTTTTAATTAAGAAAGAAAAGTGTATTATGAAAGATCAAAATTGCTCAAGTCTGTAATCAATCTAAGTTCTTTTGAAAGAATTATATGCCACAAGCAACTTGTGGAAGAAAAATTATATCTTTGACAAAAACCTCTTATATGTATATTTTGTAATATTTTTCAACACATGTTTACACATGTGTTATAGGAAGAATGTTTATGTAAGACACGTTTATTACATGATATTTTTTTTCTAGTTACTTTTATAAAATCTTATAACAAAGTAGAAAAATAATAAAATAAGATATTTAAATATATAAAACTGCATACTAATCTATTAAAAAGCCTTAAATTTTATAGGAATCTATATTTTTGTAGATGTTTATCAGTTATTGCATACAAAAAATTAAAAGAATATATATATATATATATATATATATATATATCAGATTTTTTTCCTAATTAAATATGCAAGTATCTATATTTATTTATATTCATATATATTATCTATTATCCAAAATTTTATTATAATTTTAGTATACACCAAAATGACTAAAAGTGTTATATTGGTATATAATAAATCAAATAAAATATATTTAATATACTTATTTTTTATAGTATAGTATATATATATATATATATATATTAATAAATAAATAAAATCCTTAGTAATAATCTCATATATTTTGCAATATTTAAAATAATATTAAATATACCTAGGTAGACATAAACATATAGTAAATCAGTTCATTAATTTAAAATTTTATTGTTTTTTCTCATTTTTGTAATTTATTTTTTTGGTAATTTTTTATTATTTTTGGGTTTTTAATTGTGTATGTGAGCTTTTTTTCACTGTTCAAAAAAAGGTTAAAACATCTTTATTCAAAATAATATTTTTTAAAATTGAGAATTTAATTTTTAGTATGAAAATAACAAAAATTTACTAGGTGCTTTCATGTTTGATGCAAAATTAATTATGCTTTCAACTTAAATCTGTTTTTGAACTATTATTAAACTTATAATCTTAATTTTTGAAATGTATTAAGCTAAATTTTATAATATTACTCAAGATTTACTAATTAAATATGTTATGCATTGTTAAAAATATATTATATTATAACTATCATTATATAGCAGAGATCTTTTGTGTATTAAATTAATTTACATGTAGATAGTTGAATTATATGAATTGTTTTCTAAATCTATTCTTTACAAAATAAATAACATTTATCAATAAATAAATTATCAGTAAATATTTATTGATAATTAAGTTGTTTATTGATAAATCAAATGGCTTTTATTATTAAAGTTCAGATGTTTAAATTGCTACAATAACATTAAATTTTACTTTTAATTCATGAGTTAAAAATATAATAACATACCAGCAAAAGAGCCAATGAAAAACCTTTTTTATATGATCTAGGAAAGTATTGTGGATCCTTGATAAGTACATCAGTCATTGTCAAAATAAGATAAGATCCTATGATAGTTTCGAACTCTTGGTTATTAATGCCTCTTGCTATCAGTATTTAGTGTGGAAAAGTAGGAGTTTTAATATATAATGTAGTAACTTATAAGACTTATTTATAAATTTTGTTAGCTAAAAGAATCTAAGCTAAAAAGTTCTTGGGCATAACAATACATATTTTTTTAAAATTTAAAAGCTGTTGATTAAAATAAATTAATCAAATATATTAAACAGGTAAATGCATTTTTAAATAATATATTATACAATTATTAGAAAACTTTCTACAAGAAACTATAGTTCTTTTTCATAAATGATACATTTTAATATGGATATATAAAATTTCGTCGAATAAATTAAATCTCTCAAAGATTTTTTTAGATAAAAATTTATTATGTTCATTGTTATTATATTATTATCAAAAAAATTTACAAATGTATAATTTTTCTCATCAAAGATGTTAGATTAAAGACATTTAAATTATTTTTTAAAAAATAATTTATAATTTATAATTAGTATTTTTTCAAATGGTTTTATAATTTCAGAAATATCCATGAAAAGTATATTTACAACACAAATATGTAATTTGAAAATAACTACAATAAATTTCTAGTTAAATTTGATTGGAATTTCCAAAAACATGTGCATGGGAGTGTACATGTGGAACCATTGATTTCCAAACGTTTAGTGGTCTTAAAAACTTAATTTTTTCCTGAATGTTTTTAAAATCCTGCAAAGAAAAGAAAAGAAACGAAATTAAGTGTATATATATATATATATATATATATATATATATTGCAGTAACTTCATAAATTGAAAAATCATAATATTTTGTTGCTTACATAATTTTCAACTAAAAGAATAAAATCCATTGGCCTAAATAAATCCAATTTCAATGTAAGCATGAACTTACTTAGGCTTCTAAATTTAATGTAGTGCCTTGATTAATTTTCCTGCTTTTAGTGAGACCTCAAAGGCATTTGAGTATTGACTTTTCCTCATTGCATAGTTTAATTCAATAATTTTGAAATCTTGTTAAAAAATAAAGTTCATAATATTAGTAAGTAGGCAATGGATGTAACCAAAAAAGATATATTTAGACTAAAGAATAAAAACAGTGAAAACTGCGTTTTTCCATTGCTGTGTTTGACATTACCAATGGATTAGAGGAAAGCATTTCTAAACGAAACAATGAAGATTTAAGTGGGTAGTTATTGATTTCATTATATTTCACATGTGTTTCATTTAACATATCATTTTTTAATAAAAGTCTATGGAAAGGGGGGCTAAATGAGGAATACGAAATCAAAATAATGAGCATAATAAGTGTGAAGTGGATTTGTTTCTAGAGACTTGGTCTTTGATAAAAAGTATTGTGGCACGGTTACGCCCATGTGAATAAGTCTAATAGTCAGTAAGGCAGGGGAGTCCGTTTCCGTGGACAAGTAAGCAAATTGCCAACGGTTATCGGTGGGTCCCATGCGCGCAGATCCGCCTTTTACCAATGCGTCGCTTGATCTGAGGTTTCCGTTGAGCGTCCGTGCTGGCACCCGTCCCGAAAGCTCACCATCCCGTGAGAATTCGCGCTGGCGAATGGTCCGTAGTGAATATCACACCCCGACCCGGCCCCGACCCGGCTGAGGCTCTGTTCCATCGTTTCCGACGGGGCTTCTGCTGCTCACGAATTGCTTGATCACGTCGTGACGGTCCCTCCGCATTACGATTGAATGGTTCGATTTCTCTTGCGTCTTGGCGAGACTGAATTGATGGCCCACGTTTGTTGCGAATTCCTCTGATTTGGACACACATTCTACGTCTGGAGCCCCGCCTGACTTGCATATCTGTTCGATTTCTTGCGACCGAAGTGGCACGGCAATCTGTTCTTGGGACGCACGGTCGGATCGCGTTTGGAGAAAAAGGATCGGTAGACTTGTGAGATTGGATACTGTGTTTCGCGTCGATGTGCTCTTTGAGACGTTTGTGGTTGTGCAGAGTGTTGGAAAGTCGTTCTGGCTTGCTCGTGAGTCGCTGTGGTGTGTTGTGAATGAGTTAGTGGCATTCGGTTGCTTATTGAATATCTTCTTGGCTCGATCGCTGATCAGCTAGTAATTATGGCTGTTCATCGTTTACTAATTTGATCTAGAGTCCCGACGCGATGTCGTGTTGCCGTAGGTTCTAGTTCTGTGTATGTGCGTGATCTTCCCGAATTTTTGTGAAGAGCCCTATTCCCTTGCTTAGTAGTACCGATTTTATGCTGTAGAAGAATTTGATATTCAGCGGAGTAAAGATATCGCATCGGTGGTCGCGTATGGTCCTATGCCCTTTTAGATCGGCTCGTAGTTTTCCTGAAAGTGCGACCGACGCTAATTTCGAGTCCTACGAACTAGTTATCACGCTTTAGTACGATATTGGCACTGTAGTAGAACCACCCCTCGTAATTTTCAGTGATAAGAGCTTCACGGGGGATGCGCATTGCGACCGAATGGCAACTATGTTTACTGATGGACATGACAAAGGTTCTTTCCCTTGGATTCGCAAGGTATGTCTTCGCTCTGTCTTACGCCATTTCCGTTTAGTTTGGCTTAGTTTCATTCAAACATTCTTTGCCGTTGTGAGCTACAGTAGGCCCGAAAATGCGGCCCTTGATGCGGTACGGCGAGAAAATCGCAACTAGTGAAACGTAGAAACGACAGTATGGTTTAGAGTTGAAAGTGAGGCTCGCCTACTTAATTTCTCTCCACATATCCTTTCTACTTAATTTCCCAGGCAGAGGGCATCGTCTGGTGCGAAGATGTTGCACAATTATGTGTTGCGTTTCGCAGAATTTGTCGACATTCCCCAGGGAGACGACATGCTTATACTGAATCTAATCGCAGTGTGTATTATTTGTTGTATGTTCAGTCCGGTATTGAATTGGAATTTTCTTTGTCATACTGGTTTCGTCTAATGATACCTATAACTTATCGTTGGCATGCAGCACAAAACGACAATGACGAGGTTGGACGGTACTGACGGATCTAATCAAGAATTTGGAATGCAGGAGCTCACAAGAAATCTATGTAATCCATCTCCTGCTATTGCCATCCCTGAGGTGACCCGTGGCGACCGCCCTTATCCTAGTCACTCAACTACGTTTGAAGGTAGTGGAGTGCCGCATCTCCTATTCCCACGGACTACCAATCTTTCTGATAAGGTGAAGGGTCGGTCAGAGTGCATGGCAATCAGCACAAACGATTTAGAAGAGAGCGTGGGATCTATATCAGCTGGTAACCCTGGTCAAGATGACTGTGAGTCTGAGGATGAACAGGACTCAGGCCACTATTCCCCCATGTCCTCCACATCTGGACCGTCTCCGAACAATCTCAGTCACTTCCCCAATACTGATATTCGTACGAATGTCAATGCGCTTAAAGAGGCTAAAAGCAATTGGAGTCCCAAGAAAGGCGGGCAATACGAGCTAAGAGACAGTTATGACAGGAATGAGAAGGGACGGAGAGAGAGTTTAGAAGGAAAGGAAAACCTCGATCGAACTAATAGCTTTGCACTGAGCGATACACGCCAAGGTGATGAGAAGACACAGTCTGAAAGCAAACTAGAAGAGATACCGGCCAAGAAAAGCCCTCTCAGTGCGCCGCAGATACACGTGGATGAAAGTGAGCTTACCTCTGAAACTGAGATGTCCGAATCAGACTCTAGTCTTGTAGTCGATGACGACGACGACGATGAGGGCGAAGATGAAGGCGAAGATGACGACGACGACGACGACGACAATGCCGTAGGTTGGGTGCCTTACCGTACTTCTGTAGAAGATGCAGCTGCTTTAGCTCGGCTCAGACTGAGCTCAGACTCTGGTATAGTGAGATATGTAAGTGTGATCTTTTCTTCTTCCGCATGCCCCCTGCTGGTGAATTTTCGAATTGAGAGATTTTCTCTTTTAAATGAGTTATGTTTCAATGATCTTTTTGTGCTCCCTGTTCTTGAAGGTAATGTAATATTTGTAGGGTCGCTAACTGACCATACACAGGTTGACCAAAAGGAGAAGTGCGCCAAGCCTTCAAAATTAGCACCACCTACGCATACTCTTTCCCCACCACGGAAGTGGCTCTCAGAGCCTGATACGGACGAAAAGGTACTCACTCATTTGACTCTGTTGCCTGCTTAGTTACTGAATTTCCAACTCTCAAACTTCCCGCTCGATATATCCTACCCTGTACGGTCTCGGTTTGTACTATTCATGGTCCTTCCCCACGTATACAGCATTGTCGCAAAACGTTCCACCTTCATTTGACATCAGATCTGAAGTTCGTGGTTAGTACCATGCAGTAATTGCCGTTCTCAAGATGTGCAAAGCAGCTGTCAGTCTAAATTTGTGCTACTCCTCCAGAGTAACAGTGAAATTGATTCACGATTTGATATGAACAGGATAAAGGGGAGGATGTGAGATTTCTGCGGCGCAGTAATTCAGATGGTATCATCGGTCCTCCAAGCGCGCCCCCCATGCTAGACGATATGGTGTTAGAGCCGCCTGACCGGCCAGTTGAGCCGTCCCCCGCTTCCCCCACGTACTCTGCTCAAAATGCTTTCGGTTATGACGCAGCTGCAGTCGAGCAGAGTGCGCCGACAAAACGATTTGAAACTAGTGTGAGGTGATTGCTCATTGACATCTCTGCAGAGTGAAGTCATGCCCAGTACTTGCTTTCGCCTCAAGCCATGCACCCAACAGATTTCACCAAATTTTCGTTCACATGACTATTCTCCTGTAAGAAATTCGTGAAGACGATCTGTGGTCTGCTTTATCTTGATTAATTGGAACTGAATTCTTTGAGAACCGTACAGATCCGTCTCGACAATGGTCACTGAGGACGTGGGTGTATCGTGCCGGTATCCAGCAACTCCAGTGCCTCTCGCCAACCCGGTCTTCCTCAGGTTGAGATTTGGCACTATTTCACGCCCTCCACTCTACTGTTGAAGGATGCTTGGGCTGTTAATATGTTGAACGTAGAAGAGCTGCCTGCTGTTAGCTCTGGTTACTTTACCTGCCTAATCAATTCCAGGTTATAGGGTCCACACCACATCGAGTTGACATACTTTGCTGATTCATTCTCGTAAGGTTCAAACTTTTCACAAGAATCTCTTTGGGATGCAGTGGCCAGGCTGCATGGCAGTCAATGATAGCATACGATGGTTGCGTGCGGTTGTGTCTAAGGGCATGGTCCCGTGGATCGACGGAGGCTCCTGAATTTCTTCAAGATGAGTGCGCTGTACTAAGAGACGCCTTCGGGTAAGAGAACGAAGCGTGGCGAGCATTGAACATAATCTCTTGAGCTTATCTCAATTGGTGTGCATTTCCATTTGCATGCGAGTTCTAGTACTCGGAACCATTTTAGGCTTGTATGGCAACGACACATGCGTTTCCATCCAGACTTCAAATGTGGTAAGTGTTGTGCAGACTCACACAGATCCTATTGCAGCCTCAGGAAGATAGGTCGAGGACAGAAACGAATGGGGACTTGGAAGCTTCTGTGCCTGCCAAGCCTAAGATTACAAACGGCAAGTTGAAAATTCAAGGTACACATGGCTCGATCTATGTCCGAATTCATTTGAGTATAGATTGTTACGTTTCAGTTAGTCGGTGCACACGTGAAGTTTTACTCACGTGAAGAGAATTTTGTTATTCGGTTCAGCTTCGAGTGAATGCAGTACTGTATTGTAGTCCCCAAAAGCGTGTTTGATTGCATGGCCATGGCCATTTCAATCATTTGCGGGTATTCCTGAAGGTACGTTACTGATACTTTTGCTACTAACTTGACGACAGTGAAGAGGATTCGCATCATCACCAACAAACCAATTCTACGTGGCCACACCTCCGGTCAACGTAGTTTGGCATACATGAATGCTGGTGCACACTACATGCGTCAAATGTCCGGACTCTTTAAGGAAAAGGTCAATAACCTGCGTCTGAACGCTGTTAAAGACACTCAAGGTAATACCGCTGCTTAGCTAGGTTGTGAACATCCCAAGTCGCTCAATTACATTTATTTCACGGATGTTCCACATCACTGAGATTTTGAATCAGGACCCACCTAACGTCCCCAACTGCTTTTATGATCGTGGCAGAGATTTTTACCTGTGTGATCAAGTTGAAGAGCTCATCAGAAGAAGAACTAACCCGCATCCAGCCTGGATCTTCTGATTCCGCTGTACTGTAAGTATTAATGTTTTTCCCTCATTGGTGATAGCTCTTCCAGATGCTTACTGTCGCCTAATTCAGCAGGATGTGCAGAAGTTAACAGTTACCTTTTGATCATCCCCAGGTTTCCTGAGAGTTCAGGAGATGAGCTACTGATGGATATTCTGGACTCCAAGGGAACCTCTCAGGGTCGTTTGCTCATCCCCGTTGCATCAATCAGCAATGATCCGGTTCGTGCTTGATAACTCTTTCCCATATAATCTCATAGACCTGCATAATCGTAGGTGTTTATCATGAAGAAGCTTCTGGAATGTCCTTATCGGCTCGCTTCCGTTCCACTCGTCCTCACGTTGTGCGTTAGTTGCAGAATGATAGAGTGCGGTGGTATGGAATTTACAATCTTGGAGAGCACGATTGTGTGGGGAAAGTCCAGCTATTTTTGCACTACACCACTGAATCCAATGAATTTTCTACCAAGGTTGGTCTCATTTCAGGTCCCAAATTATTTTCTGTGCCTGCGAGAATCCTGGAATTTGACGCTTTTTCTTTGCCGATATATCTCTCACATTGAGTCCGGACATCTATGAAGATATTAATATCGTCCCGGTTCGTGTGCTGAATGCAGTGGGGTCCAGTTGGGGAAACAAGGGCCTATGACATAGTGCTTGATGTGGCCAAGCGTGTGCAACAATTTCAACGTCGCAATCTCCGACTTCAAGGGCCCTGGGTCTGGCTGCTTAGTGAATTTGCCTCCTGTTATGGGGTATCGGAATCCTACACCAAACTAAGGTATAGAGAACACTCTGGACTTACAAACCGAAACATAGCTCTCTGCATTCAAGCATTAGAGTAAAGTCAGTATAACCAATTTCTCTTCACGCACCAGTCTATGACAACACTTTTGAGGTGAACCAAAGCTGACCTACGTATGTGTGCCTTCAGGTACTTGGCCTGCATCATGGAGATTGCCACCCCAACACAAGACTGTTTGGTGCTTATCAACGAACTTCTTGAACCTATAATCAAAGCTCGTGATGAGAAATCCCTCAACCGGCAAGAGGTAGCCTGACCTATTTTTGTCTCTAATTGGTTAATCTTCTCACACTCAGTCTACTAACCTGGAATTTCCAGTATACTTGATAAGTATTGAACCAGTTTGACAGATCTCTATGCTGTACTACTTGTAGTTTAAGTCCTGCGCTAATTCTTGCTTTCTACTCGAAAATGAAATCATGTGGTAGACACTGATGAATTCTGTTTTGCAGAAACGAATCTTGGTCGAAGTCGAAGAGCATGTTGAGCAACTTTTAGCCTTGGTTTTCGAAAATTATAAATCTCTAGATGAAGCTTCCACCTCTGGTCTGGCAGAGGCCTTCACACTTGCTACGGGATCCGTATCTCCTGCATTAATACCTGCCGTGCAACTCTTCACGTTGATGCATGATATCCTCAGTGCGGAAGCCCAAAGTACTCTTCGTAAATATATCAAGGTAAATGTTCATCTCAAAATATACGTAGTGTTTACGCGACTCGCCTTGTAAAGTTCTTTAAATGCTTCAAGCACGGTTCGTACATTTTCTGATTGTAGAGTGGTGTATCTAGTTGTAACCAAATTCTCTTAAGTACATTCAGGTATCTTAATGTATTTTGGTATTTGGTCACTTCGTTTCGAAGTATCAACGACTACTACATTTGTGATTGAAAATCAGTCTGGGGTGTGAATGTGCTCCCTTGCAGACTGGGGCGTGGAAGAGGTGCAAGAGACATATGGCTGAAACGGATGAATATGTGTTAAATAACAGTGAAGGATTCTTGATGGATCCATTGAGTATGACTACTGCATACCAGAAGATGAAAACCCTATGCCAGAATTTAAGCAGTGAAATACGCACTGATATAGAGATTCACAATAAACATGTCCTCCCCAGGTCAGCAGTTACAGTCTGTTCCTATTATTGTTTGTTTGGTTCTGCAGACATAGAAGTTGCACTACTCGTCGAAGGACGAAGAATGTGGTGGAATCTGGTGGTAGTAGCGAGTAGATGAATGTTGTCTAACTGTTATCAAACTTGGGTCTTGCTGCAGTTCCATCGACCTTCCGAACTTGACAGCAACAATCTACGGTGTCGAGCTTGCTAACCGACTGCGCACCTTCTTGGTAGCTTGCCCACCATCATCTCCATTACCTATTGTGACGGATCTCATGCTCTCCACCGCCGATTTCCAACGGGATCTGGCTTCCTGGGGTATCAGGTGAATACAAACTATATTCGTGTTTCCTTTTTCTGGTAGCCGTGTTGAATAGGTGATTAGCATATCGGTATTCTGGTCCAACACCTGTATCAAGCCGTTACAGGACAATGGTATCGTTCAGCAATGTCCTACTCTAACACATGTGAAATTGGTCATAGGTCACACATGGGAGGAGTGGACGCGAAGGAGCTATTCCACTTATACGTCGTACTTTGGATTCAAGACAAGCGTCTACATCTTTTGGATTTCTGCAAGTTCGATAAAGTGATTATCTTACGCTCTTCCTTGGCTCTTAAGTGGAGTTCTACCTAACCTGCAAGATGACGCTGAAAATCTGAGTTGATAGTAATTCCAACTATTTGTGTCAAGCAGGAACGTTGTACATTGGTAACTACACAACACAATACTTCTGCATTTGTTGAAGAAGCGTACGAGCGCATAAAGGAGACTCTTAATGAATATGAAGTCATCATTCACCGGTGGCCAGAGTACACTATACCGTTGGAGCACGTAAGCTATCTTTATTGCATCTATAATTGCTCTTGCTGAAGCTTTTTATGCGTATTTTTTACACGCGTGTTATTCTGTTTATGACCCTCTCCTTGAGTTTCAGGCAATGGCAGACGTCGAAAGAGCGGTTGTTGGAACTTTGGAGAAGCAGTTCGCTGACGTGATTGCACCCTTAAAGGATTTTCTTGTGCCAAAGAAATTTGGTCTCCAATACATGCAGAAGCTTACTCGTCGTCAGAAACCTGTTATATACAACAGTCCGACGCAGGTCCACCATTATGACTTTATTACTCTCTTTTCTTTGGCTCAACTAGTGTTGTCATTACTACAAATATCATATGTAGCTATTTCAATTGAACTGACAGAAATGGACACGGGTTGCAGCTAGGGGTAATGGTTAATACTATCAAGCGACTATTGGATACACTGCGTCCCAAAATAGAGGCGCAAATGAAGACCTGGGCTGAATGTCTGCCAGAAGGAGCTGTTCAAGGTGGAGTTGTGTTTGGGGAGCGACACAACGAGGTCACCATCGAGCTGCGTGCCAAATACAAGAATTATTTGCATGCTATTGTTGAGAAACTAGCCGAAAATGTGAGCAGACCGCACGTCATAACGGTGTCGTTCAAACATTTGAAATCGATGTTTGGTTGCCTTTCATGTAAGGTTATTGCAATTTGACATCTGGTAATTATTTGGATTCATTTGTGTTTCACAGGCACGGCTGCAGAATTCAACAAAATTGAAGAGAATTCTTCATGACACAAGAGAAGCTGGGGGTGCATCAGACATCGGTGAACGTATGCAACCGCTGACAGCTCTACTAGAAGAGACAATCTCAAATCTGCATGACGTGTTCACGTCACGTGTCTTCGTTGCTGTGTGCCGAGGATATTGGGACAGGACTGCCCGAGTATGTATTTCTCCTCACCACTCATTGGTGTAGTATATGACTATTGTCTGCGAGGGCTGAAAATTATTGCTCGTTGGGGTCAGTTCCCTCGGCTTATGATGGACCGTCCGTCAGATTACTGACAAGTAGGGGTCTGCTTTTTTCCTCAGGACGTTCTTCAATTTCTGGAGAGCAAGAAGGAAAATAGGCTTTGGTACAAAAGCACGACACTTGCCCTCGGGGTGAGTTAAGCCTTCTCAACCATATTGAATAAATCAACTCTTTCGCTTAATTTCGTAAATGTTGTCCGCAGTAGACTTGACGTGCGGATGAAGATAATAGTTTTTGTACCTGTTTCCTTCACAGATATTAGATGACATCTTTGCAGCGCAAATGCAAAGATTACAAGGGCGGGCACTGCAAGATAAAGACTTAGAGCCCCCTCGATCAGTCGCCGAAGCCCGATCCATGCTATCTCGGGATACTCGGAATGGGGCCGACTCATTTTACTGATCCATGTGCACATGTGTATATCTTCAGTTGGACTGGAATCTACTTTCAAATTCAAAGTAATTTGGACAACAGTAGATAAGTGTACCCAGACTCTGGCAAAGGAGTCAGTCCAGCACCGTCATCAGATTATGAACCTAACGATATGAAGCGGGTATGAATCCTGGTCTGAGCACCGTAGTACTGATGAGGATCAATTCAAGACAGTGTGGGTAACTTCCCAGTCCGCGAAATTGTATAACAGCCTTAGGAAACCTTTAGCTTGTAGTCCCTCTCCACATTGGAGACGATAGCATGTTGGACCATCTCCATACCGTGCGTCGCATTGAAGTCCTTCCATTCGACCTGGTTGAACAGCTGCACTAGGAAAGCCTCTATTGAGCATCATTTTCCTGTGTGGACATGTTGAAGTCAGCTACTGCTTTCATTTGGAGGTAACGGAACGACTCTGTCTCTCCTGATAGTCTCGCACTGGTCTCACCCCTTGTTTGAAAATGCGGAAGCAAAAGATGAATGTATTGTCGTAGTACATGGAGAAATTTTAGGATAAGCTTTGGAAGTATCTTGACCTCTCAACCTTGTCCTCAATACACTTCATCATTGGCTTACAGAAGGTGTGCTATCATCTTTTCATATATTACGTACATTGTTGATGTAGTTCATTTAACCATTATGTCTTTTAGTGTTCACCGGAGAGATCTTGCAGGGTTGAGGCTCACCACCCCTGTTTTTTTGGTCATTCAAAGAATTTTTACTGCATTCTTTGTGGTGATGTCGAAACCTTTGTGACGAGAGTAGTGTTCTGCTAAAATACTCTATGCATGTATAGAGCGTATGTTCTTTTCAACTACTTTATAGTCAATCTTTCAAGCAAATGCACTTTCTATTCACACTTTCATTTGTAAATAAGGGATGTTATATTATCTTTGTTGATCTTCTCTATTGGTTTCAATCCTATTAATATATTGAAGTGAATATTTGTATTCTATAGATTTCATTAGTTTAGTATTGCAAGTGAGCCATTTCACATATTGTATAAGTTATGACTTGTATTTTTTAATCCTAAACTCAATTTTGCTCAGTTAGGCAGATAGTTTCATATTTTAATGGAAGAAATACAATTGTAAAAAAAACAAATATTAAACTACTTTTTTGGATGAATTTGAAGCATACAAATATGAAGGTATATAACCAAAATAATATAACCATATGCTTCAAATTTTGTTTTTTTAAATCTTGCATTGGCTACAATTTTCTTTTGTCTCTTATGAAATTTTTTAACATTGGATTCATGTAATAATCATGCAAATACAAGGGTCCATCTAATTTATATTTTTCCAATGTTATTTTCTTGCATATCAAGTTGAATTTGATCATATTTGTCTTTTGTCAAGTTTTCAACCAAATGTTTAATTTTTTCAAGATTATGATATTTCATATTCTTAGATTTCATGGAAATGTAGTCATTAATTTAGGAAGTCACCATTGAGTTGCAAAGTCATTGTATAACAACATAACTATAGAGAAAAGACAAAACACTATTTCTTAACCATCAAATGTGTTCTAATTTGAAGAATGCCTTATTGATTTTGTTACAAATATTATTCAAAAGTGATTCTCTGTCTTTTAAAATATACTTGCTTTGCCAATATATCATCTATCAAATGCAATAGCTAGTTCATGAATAATGTGATGAAGAAATCCAATAGAGGCACGTTATTAGAATAATATTGCTAGAAATGATTTTATAAAACACTCTTTGTAGAGATGGTGTCTAAGTTTGAAAGGGCTCTAAAAATTCTTCTAGGATAGAAAGGACTTAGCTACTAGGACTATGCTTTATTGAAAGTGATGATTAGGATTAACTTTTTCTATACAAATTTTGGTATATTATATGTTAGATATAATTACAAACATATTAGCAAGGAGATTGTAGAAGGTGTGACCATTCATATGAACAAGGATTCATACAATAGGGAACAAGACACATTGACAAGAGTGTACTTCCATACAATAATCAAGTACCATAAAAATCCTAAAAAATTATCTTAATTTAATTCTTTGCCTTGTGAATGTTGCCTATTCATATGCTTTAGTATATTCTTTAAGATTTGCTAAATTAAAAAATTAGAAGTAATCACATGATAGATACTATATCATCTATAAGGTCCCTACCTTGGAAATCCTCTTTCAAGACAATTTGCACCATACTCTACTTTTTTGGCTTCAAATTATATCCACATTGATTTTCAAATATCCTTGAATTTATTCAAAAAGATGCAAAAACCTTGTCTAGAGTTGCTTTGTTTGGATTTGCTTCTACTAGGCATCTTTTTAGAACAAAGTTGTAGAACTGGGTCTAGAAGAATTTAGTTGAATTTCTAGTAGAAGTTGTTAAAATGTGCATATTGTAGAAGGGTTACTTTGTTTTAGTTGTTGGTACCAAGCAAGGAGATAAGAAGCTTCTATAATTAAGCCTTCTCTAGTTTTGAATATATAAGATTTATTTCCATCCATAGCAACTACAATTCAAATGACTTCACTACAAAGAATTCATATGTCTTTTTCGATACACTTTCTTAGAGTAAATGACATCTAGTATAAAATCCAATCCATTAGTTATTCTAAAATTGATAAGATCATATGGATCAAGAAGTAAAAAGATTACTTGCATTAATCCTCTACTCTTCAAATCTGCATCCTTATTTCAAATGTGAAAAAAAATTCTATCATTGATTATACTCTTGGTACTTAATAGCCAAGAAAAAAATTGAAATCATTCTAGAATATGAAAAAAAATTCCTTGTCAATGTAATTATTGCATAAAACTAGAAGACAACAAAGAGAACTATATACATAAAAAATAAAAACAAAAAATCAAGAAAACGTTTAATCGTAAGAAAGCAGCAAAGCATTTAACAAAATTAAATGAGTCTATGTCTCGGATTGATAATTTGAATCAATCTTCAAATACGAAGGAAGCAACTGACATGGCTAAAATAAAAATTTCAAACTTCAAAGCTGCAATAGCTAATTTCATGGATTCCATGAAATATGTAGTGGTACTAGAATCCCATGGGCTCCTCTCCAATAAGATAAATTTTTTAATCATAGGCAAATATAGAAAATTATTTAAATTCCCTAACCATCGTACTTGAAAAAAACAATCTTTGACCACCAAAGATCCAATTTCCTTCAATTAACTAAAATATCATATATGACATACTTTAAACTTCCAAAATATATCAAAAGAGATAGAAAAAAGACAACAAATTTAGCGAATAATCCACATCACTAGAAATCAATCTCAACAAAGATATTTGAATACCTTGTTTGAAAAATTATATAGACCAAAGTTTTACTTTTCACTAACATGAAGCTCAACTTCAAAGATCTCCATAATCTGTGTTAGGAGCAACTCTAAGTTAACATACTATGTAATCTTAGTCTGAGAATTAAGGGTCTTACATAAAAAATATGTAAGACAATCACTTAGATTAATGAGTGATAGAAGTTAAATGAAAATAGCTATATTTTCCATATCTTAATCTTTATAGAAATCACTACTATAGATTACAATTTTTACTTTGATAAGGTACAATAGTAGTTGATGGATGCATAAGATCTCTCTATTTAGATACAACATGACTAAAAAAAGATATGAAAAGGAGAAATTTTTACTTACCATGTTAGCCCAATTTTAAAATATCAATATGAGCATATAGATAGATCAATGCAATCAATCTGCTATTAACTTGAAAGTTATTGATTACAGAGGGTGATTTGTATTGCAATTGTCTTGGACTCTATTAATTGCCCAGCATGAAGAAACTTGCACTGGATAATGAACCTACTTATCCATATCCAAGAATTCACTCCACTACCACAAAGGTATTACAAATGAAGGATAAGGTTCTTCCAAATATCCTTCAAACACACCATAGAGAATTTCCAAGCCACAAATATCTCTCTTCATTGCACTTACCTACTCAAATTCAAGTATAACAACTTCCAAGATAATTGGTTCTATTGATTGATATTATTATTTAAAAAACTTTATAATAAACTATAAATCATGTTATAATCAAACCAATGAAAATTATCTCTTGTGATAAATAATGAAAATTATCCAAGCTAGGAGATTAAATCCAAAGATACTCAAGTTGGAAATAATTGACAATATTTCTATGTAGATCCTTAAGAAAGACATAAATAATTACTATCTTCTTAAGACTTGGTACCTTAATATACAAAAAAAAGTAGAAAGTAGCAATTAGAAGTCAATAATTTTTTATATACTACAATACTTCAGAAGAGTGTCTATAAAGTGGCGCTTCGATATCTACTTCTATCACCTATACTTTCTATTCAAATATAATTTCTTAGAATATTTTTAATCTAAAGTTGACTTAATGCTATCTAAACTATACCATGTCTAATAATCTAATGATTCTAACCATTTGGAATGTCCAAAGAATATTTAATAAACAAATTGGAAGGATGAAATAGATGAAACTACAAGCTTGCCTTAAATCCATTTATTCCAAATTGGAATTAATCTTCTGACAAGAGTACAAGATGGAATAACCTGATTATGATAAAATAGGAATATTTGGCCTTTGCCAAGGAAATGCATTATAGAATGTAGTTAAGTTGAATGAACAAATTGATAGATATCATTGAAAAATAGTAATCCTTATTGCATCGACAGTCCACTATTAAGTTTTGAAATTCTAAGATATTAGTTTCAGGGCAAGTTCAATGGATGATTTTCAACTTTGATAAAAAACAAATATTTTTTAAATATCTATATTTTCAATCATAGAAAAGAAAGAGAGTCAAATTTGGAATATAATTAGTAGTAGACAATGTCCAATAGACTTTTTGGTAATAACCAATGACATGAATATTATAGAAAGAAAAAAAGACTATAGTGAAAATTCTCTCAAATATCTTAGTTTACAAAAACATGAAGCATGAGATTATTTTATACTCTAATTATAATTAAAAGACTTTTAGGCTTGCGATGATTTTAAATATCTTTTAAAAGAATAAAAATAATCTTTAAAAAATACTAAAAATATATTTTTTAAAAAAACAATAAAAAACCTTAAAAATAATAAAAATAGAAATTTTAAATAAATCTTAAATAAATTATACTTAAATCTTAATTTAATCCTAGTTAAAATCCTAATGGACCTTAATAAAATTCTAGGTCAAATTCTAATGAAATCCTAATAAGATCCTAAATCCTAAACTAATCTTAATGAATCCTAATAAATCCTAATAAATCCTAATAGAATCCTAAAACCTAAACCAATCCTAATGAATCCTAATAAAATCCTAGACAAATTCTAGATAAATCTTAATCAACTTTTAATCAAAATCTAATCATATCCTAATTAAATCTTAATCATATCCTAGTTAAATCCTAATAAAATCTAAATATAACTTAAATCCTAACCAAATCTTAGATCTTAAATCAATTATGAACTGAAAATCCTCCTTATCTAATTTAAGAAGAAAAATAACCATATAACAAGTTTGGAAGGTAGTAGGGATTAATTTTATAATTATTTTTATGATTGATTAATTAATCAAGCATTTGTAGTCCAAAAATTAGGATAATTTCCTTTCAAGTAATAGATCTAGATTTGACTCTTAGCAAACGTGCCAAAATGTGATCTAAAAATCCTTCTTATCTACTTTAAGAAGAAAAATAACTACACAACAAGTTTAGAAGATAGTAAGGGCCAATTTTGTGATTACTTTTATAGTTGGTTAATTAATCAAGTGACTATAGTTCCAACTTTCTAAATAATACCTTTCAAGAAATGATTACTAATTTATTTAACTTAGAATAAGTGATAAAAATAAAATAAGAGAAGAAAAGAAT